ACTTCATATATTATAAAATTATAATGTAATATGCTAAATTAGAGAGGCATTTTTAATTCTAGATTTTTTGAGGTGATGATTGTAAAGTTTTTTAATTTTTGAAACTTTCAAGATGATGGTTGTAAAGTTTTCAAAGGGATGCGTTGTAAATTGTGTAGGATTATTTGTAATTTACAAAACTTTTAGGGGCATTTTATAAATTCTTTGAGCAGTTTTAATTTTTAAAACATTCAAGGGTTTATACAATTTTTAAAAAGTTGTTTATAATATTTTGAAATTTTTATCATACAGTTACTTTAGCAATTTTCATGGGGCTAGTAATAAAAAACATTAAAAAGATATCTGTAATTTTTAAAACTTACAAGGGGCTAGTTTTTAAAATTTCAAGGGTTTGTTTGTGAGACTTCAACGGGCTCTTTGTGATTTTTAAATTTTTATAGGATTGTTCATTATTTTTAGATTTTTTGGGGATTTTTTTTTATAATTTATGAATTTTAAAGGGGCAGACTATTTGTAATTCTTGGTTTAACTTTAATGTTCTAATATTAGAGGTTTGCTTCGGTGCTCCAAAAATAGGTTTTTTATTTATTTTTAAATTGACAAAAATAACAAATTAGCTAAAATAAGAAAGGGTATTTTAGTCTTTCAAAAAGCTCTTTCTCAATCTCACGTCTCAGTTCTACCCGCACAAAAGAAAAAAAAGGGAAAAAAAAAGAAAAGAACCAGTTGAATTTCCTTACTTGTAGCTTCTCTTATTTTTGCATACTGATAGAAAATACATGTCCTGCACGGTTTGCAATTTTTTTCCATTCAATCAAATTTACTTCTCAATCTCACGAATGGGGTTAATTAGAAACCAATTGAACCCTCCTCACGCTAGGCAGTCTATTTCCAAAAGAAAATCTGGGGTTAATTAGAAACCAATTGAACCCTCCTCACGCTAGGCAGTCTATTTCCAAAAGAAAATCTATCTCTATATAGAAAAACAAATGATTACTGATTTGAAGAACAAGAAATTTAAAGGCTTAACAACTACATCATACTATATAATTATTTTTTTTTAAAAAGGAAAAATAAGAGGTACCTTTCATGGCGTTCTCTTTCTCTTCACGAGATTTTTTGGAGTCTCACCGGTTTCTTCTAATGGAAAGTGCGGAGAAAAGCTTCGGTTTTAATAGTTAATTAAAGAATTCTAATTAATGATAAATTATGTTTCTCCCATAAATTATATTTTTTAAAATAACCTTTTTACCCATAATTAATTACAATTTTGGGTATGGAACACCTCATAACCGTCAAATCTATCTATCTAGAATTGTGAGAGCTATTTTTAAGGAATTTATTTACGGATATGCCATCATTGCTCCAACTAATCTCTATGGAGCACCGAAACGGTAGGCCTAATATTAAAGGGTTCTTCGCAACTTTCATGTGACTATTTATAATTTTTTAAGTTTTTGTACGATGTTGTAATTTATGAAACTTTAACGATCGTTTGTAAAGTTTTCAGGGAGTTGTTTATAATTTTTATTTTGAGCCGGGTGTTTGTTATTTTCACAACTCCTCCATCCCTCGGGACCAACAAGGGGTAGTATAGGAATATTCACCTGTTATCCATTGACTACGCCTTTCGGCTTGATCTTAGGCCTTGATTCACCCTCCGTGGACAAACATTATGGCAAGAAAATGTTTGATTCAGAGGGAGAAGAAACAACAGAAATTGGAACATAAATATCATTTGATTCGTCGGTCCTTAAAAAAAGAAATAAGCAGGATTCTTTCGTTGAGTGAAAAATGAGAAATTCAAAATGTCATGGGGAGAACATTAGTATGAAGATGAGAGAGAGGGAATGTTCTAAGTAGTATTTTAGTCTCTACTATCCTTGAGATTGTAATTGCATGACTTATATAATTTCTCCAAATCCTAGAATAGATTTCTTCATAGCAAGATAGACCAAAGGAACAAAATCAAGTCACGCAATGTTGAATCCTTTTATCTGCTAGAGTTTTATATGGCCGTTTCCTACGCATTAGTCATGATCATTTGAGATATACTTCGACTTATTTCGTGAGCGCTAATATCACATATATTTTTTGTTTTATGTATTCCCTTTCTTACTTTAATTGTTACCTTACTATCATCAGCTTTACCGTAGAGAAATATGCTACATAATATTTTTTTACTACCAACATGCTATTGTTTCTCTACATTAATAACATTTTAATGTTTTTGCGATGCAGAATGGAGATGGCCAAAACCAAGAGGAGTGATAGGTTCATCTTGATGGATTGTTTTACTTTCCTCTCTTATGAGCATGAAGTATCAAAGGGAGGGGGATGGTTTGTTCTCTTTCAGCAGCCTTATCCTGAATTTTCAGATCATACATGTATATCAATACATAGTATTGTAAGATGTGGGTATTTTAAAAAGTGGAGGTACTTGTCTCTTTACCATTTTCTTCTTTTTGAGTATTTCTTTCTTAATCAAAGTTAGGTTTAATGGAAGCAGGAACCAGCAGATACCTCGACGAAAATATAAATAACCGGCAGTTTTTTAGAAATAGTTTAATTTTGAGTATATTAGATCTATTGTGAATCAGAGCATGCAGTGAAATCTAGATCAAAATATACAACCCTCTCGTGATATCGTAAAATATAGACACATGAAAGAAACACAAGATAATATTGGAGCTTTGTCACCAATGTTGTTATAATGTTTCATCCCCAAAAAGCGACCAATATGTCATGTATCAGACAAGGAGACAAGGTTGAACCTAAATGGCTCTACACCACCTCGAGCAGCATGACGGTTACTCTCTTGCTTGAGGTTGGATACTGACAACTCAAATCAAATCACTCATGTCTTCATTAGCTATGGTACCTCTAGGGAAGTCAAAAAAAGTACCATGATTTGCAAACAACATCTGATTCAACTTCTTGTCCTCTAAAATAGTCTATGCCATACTCGGTGCAAGCCATCGTCAGATTAAGGATCTTAGTGATCTACATCCACTAAAAAGATCACATCTTGACCCCCAATCATAACAAATGAAACTTACGAACCCTAGACGAGATTCTAAGGGCTTGTCAAAGTCAGTGAGCTGCAATTGATCAAATGAGTGCATCAGAAGCACCAATGCAAGCTCTGTTGTTTCTGACCATGACCGCTAGCATCTGCTTCCTAATCCTCTTTGCATCGATGTGAAGAACCTCCGGTTCCTACAATTGGAGACAAAAGAGATTGGATTATATTAGATCTAGGGTTTGTAGAGATCTAAAGAGAGGGAAGACAATGAGTTACCTTGTGTCAATTTCCATTTATAAAAATTTCCAATTTTCAAGTTGACTTTTTCAAAAGTTTGTTGAAACTCCTAAAAAAAGATCGCAAAAAACTATTATTGCTGCCACACCCCTGCCAGTCACATCTAGGATTATGGCATCAGAACAAAATTTTCATGGTTATCTAAAGGCCTTTGGGTGCCAACGGGACAATGGTCGGGTCTTTCTCATGATAGCCACACGTTCATTTCTAAATCCTATCCTCTTCACAATCATGGCCTTGGCCATGGAAATCTAAAGCTCTACAATCTTGAGGACTGTTAACCTACTTGATACTTTATGTCATACCGCAAGTTAGAGTGGATCTTAATCAGAAACTACCATAAAATATTATGAAGATATTAACAATCTTGCTTCGTCCCTAGAGGATAATTAATCTTGGAGGATTCCACAAAGATTAGTTATCATCTAGGAACGAAGCAAGATTCTTAATTTCTTGCAATATTATAAGGCAATTTCATATAAAGGCCCGTTGTAACTTGCAGCGCCTCAAGAAGCACCAATCAAGTTAGTAGACTCAATAACAAAGAACTTTAGATTTCCATGATCAAGGCCATGGTTTAGAAGAGAGGAGTTAGATACGAACCTCCGGCTATCAGGAGAAAAGGCCCAGCCATTATCTCACAGGCACTCAAAGATCTTCAGATAACCACAAAATTTTGAGTTCAAGGCCATAATCATGGATGCAGACTTGGTGGTGGTGCGGTAGCAGTAATGGTCTTTGGTGATTTTGCTTATCCTTCCTCTTTTTTATATTTGTTGGCGATATGCTCCACGAAAGGAAGGAAAAAGAAAAAATGGTGATACAATCTATGACAAGAAAGAAACCACATGGATTGTTGAGCGAAGACGAAGGGCTGGATTGGGTTGTTCAGAAATTAATTTTGTAGGATATATTATGGAAGGTAATTAAAAATGATTGCTTTAAACCGCATATGGCCAGACTAGAGACAACTCAAACCTTGAAGAGGTTGTGTACATTAGGTTAGTAAAACATTCTAGAACATGGGTGCCGTTTTGGGTGTAGATAGGAGGTATGAACTATGTATATGTATGTATAGATAAAATGAGGAAAGGAGCAACACAATAATTTGTTGGAATACAGACAAAAGGAGTACAATTTCTTTGTGAGATATTAGTGTTGAAGATATTTTTGAAAGTTAACTACTCAAAAGATTATAAATTATTATATTTTCTTTAAGGGGTTTTCTAATGGATGCCTAAAGGCACCAGCTAATATGGATTAATATTCATAAATTTGGAATCATTCCTAATAATATCCCTTAGGTACATAATGATTCTTTCTCTTCCTTACTTTAATCTTTATTTATTTACAAAATCATGGCATTTAATTCACGTTCAAAAGTTTCTCTTTTTCTTACTTTCCTCCAATATTTTCTTTTTCTATCTCAAAAAAATAATTAAGAAGAAAGCTCATTTTGTCATAGCAAGACTTGCACTACCACATAATTGATCTGTTGCAGCGGTTAAGGCGCAACGGTTTTAACTGTTGCGTTAGATATCTATCGTAACAGTTTTCAGTGTCTAATACAACATTTAATGGAAAACCGTTGCCATAGACTTAATAATTGTTCATGGGCTTAATAACAGTTAAGTTTAGTTTGTAAAGCCCATTGACCGCTTAAACAAAATCCTTCTCGCTCTTTGAGGCTTCTTCAGGTCCGCCGCCTCAAATTTCCTTCACTTCCTCTCTCTCTCTCTCGAATCTAGGGTTTCAGTCTCCGATCCTCCCCTTGTCGCCATGGACGCGATTGAATCCGTCGTCGATCCCCTCCGCGATTTCATGAAGGACAGCGTTCGCCTCGTCAAGAGATGCCACAAGCCAGATCGCAAGGGTAAGCTCGATCATCGTCATCATCATCACTAGATCCATCCAAATTACACACAATTTTGATTTTGATTGGTTTCGATCTCGCAGAGTTCACGAAAGTGGCGTTTCGGACCACGATCGGATTCGTTATTATGGGATTCGTTGGGTTCTTCATCAAGCTCATCTTCATCCCCATCAACAACATCATCATTGCAGGAGGGATTTGATGAAGACAGATTGTTAACCGCTGCGCTTGTGCAATTGTCATTTTTCTTAGGTGCTGCGGATAACATCGATTGCTGCATTAATCACGATCCATTGCTCTAGGTCGATCCCTGAGGTAAGATTCCTTAACCTAAAAGCTATTTCTTCTCAAACAAAATGGATTTATTTGTTTTCTATTGGGTAATGACAGAATGTTGGTTGTGATTAGCTACTAGGTTAGGCAAGTGGGTTAATTAAATTGAGGGGATTTGCTTATATCTTGATTTAAGTAACTGTTGGAGCACTGTTTTATTGATCTTTAATTTTTTTTGATTTTCTGCAGGAAATTTGGTGTAAAACCCCGAAAATTTGAATATAATGTGATAAATAATTATAAATATGTTATATAGTAAAAATAATGTATTTTGATATTTGAGTATGATAGGAATTGATTTGAGATCAATTCAATGTATATTTGTGAATATATGAGTGTAAATACACAAAACATGCACATAGGCAAATAGTGAGAATCTGAGAATTTTGACCAGTTGAGAGTTTCTATGCTTTGCACACTGATTCAATTAGAATCTGGAAAAGTGTATAAGACCACAGTTGTAGGCCTCTTCAATAGCTTTCCAACGAATCTTAAATCACCTCATTTCGAGATCATATGAAAAAGTTACAACCTTTTTACCGAACCCCAGTCTAAGTATGGCCCAGAACCCTGCGCAGTCGACCGCCGTGGTTTCTGCGGTCGACCGCGAAGCGAACCTGGTTCTGCCAGTTCAGTTTTGGGTCAGGTTTTGTTTATACCAAACCCAGTTGTTACCCCACTTATATATACTCGTTTTGAAGCTCTCAGAACCCTCTTTCAAACCCTAATAGCCTCAGCCCCCCTTCTCTCTCTCCTCTAAAACCCTAGCTCGGATTTTGGCGTTTTTAGGTCGTTTCGAAGGATTTCGGTGGGGTTTCGTGATTCAGATTGAAGGAGGATCGTTTTTGGGTGTTCATCAACCCCCCTCAGGCGAGTGACATCGCCCCAGCCCTTCACCCACGTTTTTATGAGTTTTCTAATGATTTCAATAAGTTTCTTGAGCCTAAATCATTATTTTGTGTAGATAGATGGATCTTTATGATATGAGATGTAAGAATCAAGTATTTTAGTTTTCAAATGCTCACCAACGATTTTGGTTAAAGAGATCTGATCTGAAAATGGTTTTAAAAGAGTAAATTTCTGTTTTTATTGAATAAATAATATTTAAACCATGTTTATATATGTTTAGGGATCTTGGTGATGATTTTGTTTACATGCTAGAAGTTATTATATGATGATTCATATGTATTAGAATGTGTAATATATTGTTTGGAAGCATGGGTGTATTGTTTGGATCGATTTCGAAGCAGAACAGAAACCTGGGAAAAGCCCCTGTTCGTTTCGCGGTCGACCGCGCGTGACGCGGCGGTCGACCGCAGGGCGTTCTGTCGAGCAGGATGCCTCTGCCCTATGCGCGGTCGACCGGAGTGGTCTCTGCGGTCGACCGCCGCACTGTTTGTGCATATATTCGTGTTGGTTGTGCATTTTATACGTCCGAGGGGTCGCCTCGATTATCTGTCACTACACTGCAATGATAGTGACTTGTCTATACATGTGAGTTGACACTTTTGACACAAGCACCGATCCGCACAACGAGGCACGTGTGACATGAGATTATGTGTATCTTTTGTGTATATATATATTCGACACTTACACTTTGTATAATTTTACAGTTAGTCCTCGTGTTGGACACTCATTCCATTCAGTCCTCGTGTTGGACACTCATTCCATTCAGTCCTCTTGTTGGACACTCATTCCACTCAGTCCTCGCGTTGGACATGCATTGGTTATATTTAGTCCATGCGTTGGACATTGGTTATATTCAGTCCATACGTTGGACATTGGTGAGATTTAGTCCATGCGTTGGACATTGGTTATATTCAGTCCATACGTTGGACATTGGTGAGATTTAGTCCATGCGTTGGACATTGGTTATATTCAGTCCATGCGTTGGACACTCGTTACTTTCAGTCCATGAGTTGGACGTTTAATTTATATAGTCTATGGCTGTTTCTTTTAGTTTATTATTTCTTGTATTAGACCTCGGGTTTAGTATTTAGGGATTTACAATTGGAGATACAAGGTATATACATGAGGGTTTCCTTGTTTGGATTATTTCGCTCGACGTACCTACGCTCGTGTTGTAAATTCCAAAATACCAAAACCCATTGTTGTTAGGACAAATGATTTTATATTATTATGTTTTAATTGTATTTTCTGTATACAACGAGCCCTTTCCCTTAGGGTTGGTTGTGATGTTGCTCGCTAGCGTTTTGACGCTCGTTGTCCCTCCCCCTTTCAGGTAACGAGCCAGGAGCCCGGAGAGTCGCAGGTTGAAGGCGACACGCTTTAGTGTTCAGCTGGCTATTTTTAGATATGTTTTATTTTGGAGCTCCACTGTAGACTTTGTTTAGATGTTTGAGGACTTTATTCTAGATGTTGTAAAGGCTGTGTGCCTTATTTCCTTTACTCAGACTTATTGTATTTGAGATTTGATAAGAACTCCAGTTTATTCATTTCAGATATTGACTTTGTATTTCTATATGTTGGATGATGAAATATCATTTTGATCTCTTTCATTTCATCACTACCTCTTGCATTATCTATTACTTGCTTTTGTACCTACACCTGTTGTTGACTCTACTAGAGATATGTTAATTGTGATGGTGAAACATGTTATTGCACGGTGTGGTGCATGGCAGGTTTGACATTCTTGGTTTCACCGAGGACTGCAGCCTCGTGTGAACCCAGGGGCGTCACAGTTGGTATCAGAACTCTAGTTCCAGTATCATTAGGATCATCCTGTGTCGAGTCGTGGAGGTAGGATAGAGTTTCTTAGGATTCATGTATAGGGTCCGATAAGAATTTCCTAGTATGAGTGAGGACGATATATGCGTATATCTCAAAATTTGAGAATTTTTTTTATGACAACTAATTTTGTATAAATTCAAACAGTTGTGCAAATACTATATGATGTGAAAATTGTGTCATGATACGCTATTTATAGACGTCTATTTTGGCTCACAACTCTTATTTTCTTATGACCAGAAAGATGGCAGGACGTGGTAGGCCTGTGGCGAATCATATTGCACCACCACCATCAGTAGCTAGAAAAGTCATTTCTCAAGAAAATGGGACGACTAAGTTTCAGAAGAACAAGAAAGGGCACCCCGGAGACAAGGATAGGAACAAGAGACCTTGGTCTGGACCTCAGCAACAGCAGGGCCCTCATAAGAAGGGATCCCAACGGAATCAGAGAGCTCGTCAGCAGCGTAAGTTCCGGGGAGTTTGCTATAACTGCCCAAGGCCGGGCACCAGGCACTTGAGTGTAGCAGTACACCAACAAGAGATCAGAAGGGAAATGGTCCGAATCAGCAGCAGCAGAAGACTGAGGGGCATGTTCTAGCAGTTCAGGAGGTTCCCCAGGGGCAGATTGTCCCATATTCTCCAACACCAGCAACAGAGCAGTATCCATCCATCGGCAGAGTATATGCAGTAGTTCCGCATGATAATGGAGCAAGCAGATCAGTTATGGAGGGTACGTCCCTCATAAATCCTTTTCCCCGCCCGTATTCTTTTCGATTCTAGAGCTTCGTGTTCTTTCATTTCGTATGCTTTTATGACTAGACTCCAAATCGTAGCTCAGCCCCTAGACATTCCATTATCGGTTTTCCATCTTTTTAGGTGGGGTATCGCTTCTGGAGAGCATTTGTAGGATGTGTATTATTAGTCTAGGTGAGTCGGAGTTTGTTATAGATTTGATAGTGTTGCATGTGTCCGAGTTTAATGTTATCCTTGTTATGGATTGGTTGTCATCCTGCCATATTAGTTCTGACTGTTTTTACGAAGATAGTCAGAGTGCGAGCATCCAATGGGTCTGAGATGATTGTGGCCACTTCTCAGGGCATTCGCTTTGCGGAGTCACTCCTGGCGTTCATCGATGAGGGGATGTGACGGGATCAGAGTTCTGATTTATTGGAGACTAGAGTTGTCTCAGATTATCAGGATGTCTTTCAGGACATACCTGAGTTACCTCCTGTGTGAGAGGTTGAGATTTATATTGAGTTGCAGCTGGGCACAGTCCCGATATCCCGCGCACCCTATCGTATGACACCAGCTGAGATGAGGGAGCTTCAGACCCAGTTGGACGAGTTATCAGCTCAGGTTTTATTTGTAGGAGTTATTCTCTGTGGGGCGCATCGGTCCTCTTCGTGAAGAAGAAGGACGGTAATATGATATTGTGCATTGATTATAGAGAGCCGAACAAGGTCACTATCCGGAATAGGTACTCATTACCTAGGATTGATGACTTGTTCGACTAGTTGCAGAGAGCGTAGTATTTCTCAAAGTTTGATCTTCATTCTGGTTATCATAGTTGCGGGTTCGGGAGATGGATTTTCCCAAATCCGTTTTTCCTAATTCGATGTGAATCTTTAGAGTTTCTAGTCGGGCCATTCGAGTTAACTAATGCACCCGTAGTATTCATGAATATGATGAACCGGATTTTTCCGTCCCTTCATGGGCCAGTTTGAGATTCTCATATTTTCGAGATCGGAGGCAGAATACGAGTAGCATTGTAGACTCTTCAGGAGCATCAGTTATATGTCAAGTTCAGCAAATACGGGTTTTGGTTTTCAGAAGTTAGACTTCTCGGCCACGTCAACAGCAGAGAGGGCATGGCAGTGAATCCGACTAAGTTTACAGCAATTCTTGTTTTGTAATCGCCGAAGATGGTGACAGAGATTCGAAGCTTCTTGGGTTAGCCGGTTATTACAGGAAGTTCATCCTAGACTTTTTGAAGATTTTGACACCACTTACATGCCTTACGAAGAAGAGTGTACAGTTCGTTTGGAGCATGGAGTACCAGGAGGCCTTGATACCTTAAAGGCTAAGTTGTCCACAGCGCCAGTTTTGATTATTCCGAATAATGACGGGACATTTGTGGTCTACACAGATATATCATTGGCAGATTTAGGAGACGTTTCGATGCAAACTCAGAGAGTAGTAACATATGTCTCACAGTAATTTAGAGTGCATAAGCA